CAAACGAGAGGCTAACAACAATTTATACAAATGGCCTGCCAGCGAAATTATACAATTCTGAAGAGGAGCCAACGAATTATACAATTGATTCTTTTTGTATATATGTATAGCGAATTATGCATATATATGTTTGCTATGGAGCGCAATTATGCAAACTTTGCTATAGCATACAAATATGATTTTTTTGTTTGCTATATGTGAAAGTTTCTCTTAAAAAAATGCCTAATAAAAATAATTTTTAAATAGGTAAAAGTATTCAATAAATACTAATTTTAATTGAAGTATCTAAGTGAATTATGTGGATAACTTTAAGGGGCAGTCGATGATTTAAGCCTATTTAAATATAATAGAATGGCAAACTGCCGTAAATACAATAGCATGGCCATACTTCTGTAACCTTTCTAATAAGTTCGGTACTATTTTATTTATTAAAAAAAAAAGTAGAAATTATATGTCCCAAACGAGGGACTACCACAAAAAAAATTAAAAAAATTATCAAACTTGTTCACTTGTTAATCTCTGCTTGCACCTTCTCAATGAAACTAAGCATACTCTCTAATCCTTTCTCATCTGAAAAAAGAAGAAGAATTAATTAACAACACAGAATTAAATGAAGTTAAATTAATAAAAAAGTTAAAGAAGTTTACCAAATCTTGGTATAGTGTGGCCCCTAGGATGATGAATCACCACTGGATCAACACATGATTCCAACAGTTCTATCCCATACTTCTTTAGGTAATCTTTCTCACCTATAATGATCAATTAATAACCAGTAATTAATATTGTATATTTTTTTAAAAAAAATAATTCATCTTCAAAGTGTGAAAAGTAAGATTTTATCATTGTTAGATCACTTAAAAGTTATTATAGATAATTATTCATAACAAATATAACTAATCGCCCTGAAAATAAAGCATACCACCTGCTATAACATATTAAAACACATTTAAGAAAATTAGAAGCTTTGGATACATGTTGCGATAATAACATGTTGAAGTTTAGCAGCTGGACCCCTCACCCCCTCCTAAAAATAGGCATGTTGAAGTCATAAGTTTGGATTTTCTAGCTTATGCTATAGTTTAATAAGTCAATTGAAACAACTCATAACTGCAATTAGTTATGAAACAAGAATTTAGGAGTTGTTTGGTGACTGGATGACGGTTGGAATGTCTCACACAATTAACTATCTATTTTTTAAATAGAATAACTAATTCTTGAGATTAATTGATATTCACAAAGGAAATGTGAAATATTTAGAGATTGATATACCTTATACCATCTATCAAACAACTCCTCTTGTCTAAAAAATCCTTTATATATATCAAGGCATATCCTCTAAATATTCCTCCCAACAATAACCAATATTGACGTATTTATCGATCTAATAAGTTGGAACTATACATTGTGTTTCTCGACATGCCTTTATTTATTTAACAAATACTATAGTACTTAATTTGCATCCTTCCGTGAAATTTCTTAACAAATTCAATTTAATCGAGTCAGCCCAAATTGACCAGAATCTATAGTTGACTTGTCCTAGTTTATAAAACAAACGTTTTAAAAGAAACAAAATAATGTGTTGTTCAATTTGCACAAAACGTTATGAAATAAATAAAAAAGAATCATACTACGTGTACTGTAAAATAGCCAAAGAGCAACAATACAACGTGTTGAATTTTTTTGCAGGAACAGAAAAATACCTAAAAAATGAAGGGAAGGGCATGTAATTGCTGATGAATAAGCCTTTTCGGCCACAGATTTATTCTGAAATTTAGCACCTCCAATTATTATCAGATTTTTTATTTTTGGAACCTTTGTAAATCCCACTTCCTGCCAATATCACACCATGTAATCATCAATTATCATGAAAAATTTAATTGAACACGAATAATTATGACATTACGATTTGAATTTTGATATTTTTCATTTCACACACAGAACTAAACAAAAATTTAATTTATCGCGTAGTGTGTACCTTAGCCTGCAACCCGGACAATCCTCCGGAAAGAATTGCCCCCTGAATTGTATCAAAAGACAGAGATACTCAAAATCAAATTGTAATACATCATAAATTTGAAATGTGAAAAAACAAAAAGAGAAAAGTACTTAAAAGAGTCAACAAATGCAGAGAAGAAATAATTATTATAGTAGTATCTTTTTTTAAAAAAGCATCAACCTCAAATAAATAATTGTATTCCACCTTTAACCGGAAATAGTCTAAATTATGTCTTTTTGCTTTAAAAAAAACAATTGTTTTCATAGAAAAAAATTATTTTTGACGTAAATAACAGACCTTTTTAAAAAAATCAAATACTTCCAAAGTACATGCAAAAAACATTGAACCAAATTTATAACCAATCCAATAACGAATAAAGATTAAAAAAAAAAAACAACTTGAATTACCTGAGAGAAACCAAGAAGACCATCGAAAGGCCCATGCTTAATCATACATTCTTCAATGTATTCAAGACATTTATCAAAATTCTCATACTCTGTAAATTCCTGTATTGAAAAACAACAACAATTAGTTGTTAGATCGAAATCGAAGGAAGAGGTATGTGATGGAATTTTAATACTGAAAAAAGGAAGCGACCTTATTGAATTGGAACCACTCGTAATAGGGAGGGTCAAAGATGCCTTCAACTTCAGATTTGCCTTGAGATGGAAAAGGCGCATCAACAAAAACTAGATCCAATTTATCCACCACTTGAGTTGGCCATTTATCAAATATTTGCTTCTTCAAAATTGCTCCACTCGTTCGAAATCCATGAAGGCAAAGAAATCTGGGTTTCCTTTGATTAGTCTTGCAATCACCTTCACTTCCCATGGTGGCAGGCAACAAATGTGTATATATATATATATATATTTATTTTTTTTTCAGAAAGTAAAATGACTCTGTTTTGTAGATTTAGAGAAAAGTCCGCAAGTGTAGGAGGAATATATAGAGTGAAGGAGAAAGGGCGTCGTGCCAGAATTTTTTTAGGCGTGGGTTGGGGAACGCGTAGGATGAGTTGTCTGCGGGATTTGGGGCTCGTGGGATATTGCGTGGACGGTAAAGCTCGACTCAAAAAGAGAAATATTTGGCCAGAATTTGGCCAGAAATATAATATCTTTGTTTTAATTTTTACATTTATTTCCTCAATACTTTTCCCTCCAAACAAAACTAACATTTTTTATATTTCCCAAACTCCTTGAACTACTAAAACACAAACTATTTGGCTGCCAAGGAAAATGAAAAAATGTTTTTGTGTATGTTTTTTTGTGTGTGTATAGTTTATCCGATTTATTTTTAAAAATAAATATTGTTTAGTTAATAAAAAAATTGTACGCTTTAGTTAAAAAAATATTTTTGTAATTTTTCGCTTAAAATAAACTACAAATGACTATCTTATCTACTTAAGATTATACTTAATTATTTTGTAATTCAAAATTAGTAAAATATAGTAATTAAGTGTAGATTAAAAGAGTTTAATTAAATTTTTCTTTAAATATAATCAACTAAATAGATTAGTCTATATAATGGATGTTTTTCAAGAGAAAAAATTATTTTGAAATTTGGATATTTCTAAAAATAATTGATGATAAGACATATATAACTATGCCATAAATAATACATTAATTTTTATATTATAATCATTCCACACAAGAAGTAACATATATAGAAAATGGTGAAATTATTTCACTAATTTTAACCATGAATAAAAATCCAGTTATTCCAATAATATTAATTAAGTGGATATTTCAAAACAAATGAATAAAAGATCACTCAATACGTACTTATCAATTATAATACTTTAAAATAGATGCATTTTATGTATATAATAAATTACAATATGTTTAATGTGTATAAATAAAGTATAACATAACTAGGATAAATATATATTTTAAATTATTTTCATTAATGTAAAATTTTAATATTTCAATAACGATAATCAAAACTCAAAATACTTAAGAATTGATAGACATCGGCACATTATAGAAATACATCAAAAATTTATTAATATGTAGTTTAATTTTTTAAATATGTAGTTTAATTTTTAAATATGTAGTTGTAAATACGTAGTTTAATTTTTTAAAACATAATAACCAAACATAAAATTTAAATATGTAGTTTAATTTTTCAAAACATAATAATTAACAAATATGCAATATTACAACATTAATGTGTAACTATCTTGGGTTATTGTTAAATAGGATCTACACTTATGAACCATATGATTTTAGTATTTCTTTAATGTGTTGATATCTACCAATTCTAAAGTATTTTAAGTTTTGATTGTTATTATTGAACTATTTTACATTATATATATAAAATTATTTAAAATGTAATTTAAATAATTATTTAAATAGGTAATTTAAATTTATTTATATAATAAATTCAATAAAATTACTTAATTTTATAAGTTCTTAATCAGTTTGAAACAAATATTAATTTGAGAACAAAAAAATAAATAATAATATTGTGACTACAACTATGTATACTTAATATTTTAGCATATCATTTAATAACAAACATTTTTTTTATAAAACAACAAATAATACTAATAAAGAAAAATATATATGTGATGAAACTTTAATCTAGTTTATGCTTAACAAATTTGTGTTGTGATTATCATCGGAGAACTATGAAGATGTTTTTCTTTCAATTTTTTTTATAAAAGTTATTTTGAAATCATAAAGAACTTTCTATATCCTTTCCGTGTTATTATAATTTTTCAATAAAGCACCATCAACGTTTTCATCCAAAAAAAATTTGTATACGTCTCTAGTACTAAAATAATAAATAAAAATTAATTCTAATGAGTCTTTATTTGTGTATAATGTGATTCATATGCAATCGAAGATATGAAGACAATCACATAAGAGGAAACATGATGGTAATTTGAGTTTTCTACATATTTTATTCACATACATTTTGAGTATAATTGGATAAAATATATTTTATCACTAATTTTTTTCTAGCAAATCAATGCGTAACAACAACTCCTTTAAATAAATAAGAGTAATTGTTTAGACAACTGGGTCCATTTCAGATTTTATTTTTGAGTGTTGTTGATATAAATTTTTAATATTTAAATTTAGATATAAATTATCTTTTCACGATTAGAAATTATAAATTTAAATAGATAATCTACACTTTACTCTCTTTTATACTTTTCAAAAAATTTCTTATCAATAAGAAATAAGAAATGGAAAATAAAAAAACAAAAAAAATAAGTAAAACGGGGAAAAATTGAAATTGAAGAAGAGATATATTTTTTTACTACTACTGTAATATATATATATATATATAGAGAGAGAGAGGGGTGAGACTTATGTTTTCTTTGGTGAATTTTTTGGTTCCTTTCCCATGTTTAACTATGAAATCATCAATAATTAATCTCATTAATCATTTTCAATGTATTGGAAACATAATTGAAGAATATATTTAATATTTAAGTTAAAGGGTAAAAATGTCCAAAAATAAACTAGTTTATAGTGTGAACATGTCTTTTTTTCATTCTGGCCAAATTATGGCCAATTTTTTTTTTCCTTTTTTTATATTTAAAATTTAAATTGAAATTATTTATTTTTTTAATAAAGAAGCAATTTATCTATTGCATGGCGTTCTTTTTTATGGTACACTATTGACATGTGAAGTCGTGAAGCTCATTAGTGAGCTAATCTCAACCCCACAACGCATGTGATATGTAAATCGAAGTGTAAAAAATTATTTTCTTGAACCTCAAACTTAATTAATTAGTGAATTGAAGTGTAAAACATGGTGAATATATATATATATATATGGAAAATAATTGAAATTTCACAATAATAATATAACTTATTATTTAATAAAAAGTAGTCTTGAGAATAAATAAATATTATTACGATAATATATAAATATTAGTGCAAAAAATTAATACTTGAATCGTGCTGAAAACTGTACTAAAAAACTATTTCAACGGTATGAAATGTTTCCCCGGAATTAAACAAACTTCCCCTATCTTAAATAGAGGATACAGGAATCAGCACATTAATTAACATCAGGAAGTTATTAATGGGGAAATAAAATAAACATTGATTAATTAAACGAGGGATTCAGAAATAGAGGCAGCATATCGATGTTTGTTACTCCCTTAGAAAAAAAACTACACATTTCTATATGAAGTAACAATTTAATTATAAAATATTTGTGTTACCTTGATGAAATGATTTACAGTCACACAAATTTCTATTATTCATTTTGGACTATAAGTTTTTAAAAAAATTCTTTCTTTCTTAAACTCCGTGCGGAATCAAATTACCTCACATAAAATGAGACGGAGGGAGAATATATTATAATGAACAAAATGAGAAGAATATATAGGGAAAGAATGTCATGTAACAATGACAAGTGGCCTTGCCACTTGTCCAATTCCCTACATGCAACATGACACATGAGAATGAGTTGTCAAGAGAAAAAAAACGAGGTAATATCTCAGATGGCTACTCAATTATGAACTATTTTCTCAGAAAGTCACTCAACCTTAATTTTTAACTCAAAAATCACTCAACTATGAATTTCTTACTTACAAAGTCACTCAACTATGAGTGTTTTGTACTTACAAAGTCACTCAACTTATTCAATTAATTTTTTTAAATTAAAATTTAATTAAATGAAATTTTTTATCTCTAACTAAAATTGTAAAAAGATGACCCACCTACTTAACTCGATCCGCTAAAAATATAATAGTGATCCTTTTGTTTTACCTTTTCCCCAAATTTAATAGTTAGGATTTATTATTTTCAGAACCTTTAAATTTTGTATGTTTTATGATTTTTTTTCTACACTATGTTTAATTTGTGTTTATAGGAACATCGATACAGTTTGAAAAAATTTTAAGCATGGTATGTTGACGATTTTTAAGCATAGTATACTGACGAGGTTAGATAATTTTTTAAGCATAGTATAATTGGCAGTTCAAGTGGATGCTTATTTATTTTTAATTTTTTTTTTTAGAAATAAAAATTTGATCCAAGTAGATTTTAATTTAAAAAAATTAATTGAATAGGTTGAGTGACTTATTAAGTAAAACACCCATGGTTGAGTGACTTTGTATGTAAACACTCGTAGTTGAGTGACTTTTTAGTTAAAAATCAAAGTTAAGTGACTTTTTGAGTAAAGAAGAGAAAAGACATAAAGTCACCATTACAGTTGTTTTGGATTTTCAAAAAGACACCTTAACTTTGCAAGCGTTCTATTACCCTACAAAAGTAGCAAATATCTTTGTAAAATGATCATTTTGACCCATTTTCTCACTATGTTTGTGAACACTCCAATAACATCGTGTGAAGGTCTATTTTAACTGCCAAAAATCAATTAAAAAATGCCACATTTCAACTGTTTTCTTTATTAATTAATTAAAGAATTAAATACTTCATCTTCTTTTCTTTATTAATTAATTAAATAATTAAATACTTCATCTTCCCCAGTTGGAGAAGATTTTTTTCAAACAAGTACTTTTAGGAATCAACAATGGTGACATCAACCTCGACAGGCTCAATGGTGATTGGGGTGATTTGCTTGACAACATTTGGGGAGCTAAAAAGGTCAATCCGCGCTCGTGAACCCTCAGCTCAAACTTGTCCCATGTATTTGTGCATTCTCCATAGGAAGACTTACTAGGGATAATGTTAAGAACCTTTGTTGGTGCAACATCTCACACCTAGAAACGACTATAAAGAGTTTAAAATATGAAAATATTGATTTTTGGAAAGAATAAGGAAATCTGGAAATTTTGTCCAAGTTAAGAAAGTGAGTTTTGGCCATTTTCAAACGGCCATAACTCCTAACTCAGGAGGAGTTGGGAGCAGATCTTGATATGTTTGGAAAGCCCTTGGAGAGATCTTTCCAACACCGCCAAGATTGCACAATTTCGACATCGTATGAGTG